ATATCAAGTGCCCTCATGCTTTTTAAAAGAGGTTTAGCATTTGTGAAGCAATTTTGAAAATGAATAATGCGTGCTGCATGATTCTGTTGTTTAAGGAGAGAGTCGAGTTTAGATTTATTTGTACTACCCCAAACAATATTGCCATAAGATAAATAACTATTTATGAATGCAAAATATAGTTGAGTTAGAGTAGATTTGTCTAAGATTCGTCTGGTTTTATATAAGATGCCAATACTTCTTAAGATTTTATTGCTAATATGATTTATATGAGCTCTCCAGGATAAGTTTTCGTCTATTAAAATACCAAGTAATTTATTTGTGAATGAGCGCTCAATATTGATGTTATTTATATATAGCATTGGTAAGGATTTCGGAATAGATTGAAACTTTCGTTTAGAATGGAATAAGGAAAACTTAGTTTTATCAGTGTTTAAAGATAAGCTAAATAAATAAATGAATAAATAAAAAAAAGATAAATAAATGACGGGAAAAAACTATAAATCTTATGAAGAAATAAAAAGATCTTACTAAGATCTTGCTAAGATCTTAATAAGAAATAAATGCGAGAAAAAAACTACAAATCTTATTAGGGTTAGGGTTCTACAAGATCTTCCTAAGAACTTATTAAGTTAAATTTAAATTAAATTTTCATATAATCTCTTTCGGTCGTCGGTTTATTTTGCGCCAATTTTTTAAGTGTTGTCGGATATATATATATATATATATATATATATATATATATATATATATATATATATATATATATATATATATATATATATATATATGTATATATATAAATATATATATATATATATATATACATATATATATATATATATATTATATATATACATATACATTATATATATATATATATATATATATATATATATATATATATATATATATATATATATATAATATATATATATATATATATATATATATATATATATATATATATATATAAATATATATATATATATATATATATATATATATATATATATATATATATATATATATATATATATATATATATATATATATGTATATATATATATATAAATATATATGCATATATATATATATATATATATATATATATATATATATATATATATATATATATATATATATATATATATATATATATATATATATATATATATATATATAATATATATAATATATATATATATATATATATATATATATATATATATACAGTAACGTGCAAATTAATTGCATAAAGCTAAAGAAATAACATAAAACCTACATATGAAGTCTTATTTAGTTGTTATTTAATTTCTTTAGCATAAATAAACAAATATGGATGTAACATCTAGAAAACGTTCTAAAATCGTAACTTTGATTCAACATTCTGGAAAAAGTCAAAGAGAGATTGCAGAATTATGCCATGTCAACCAGTCTACTGTCAGCCGAGTGTTCAAGCTGTTCAGAGAAACTGGTGGTTTTTCTCCAAAGCGACTGGGCAGGTGAGGTCGAAAGAGAAAGACTACAGCCAGGGATGATCGTTTTCTACTACAGCAAAGTAAGAAGAACCCCAAGAAGACAAGTTTCCAGCTCAGGAATGATCTTGAAAGTCATTGTGTCAGTGTCTATTCAAGCACTGTTAAGCGGAGACTGCTTTGTGTTGGGCGGCCAGCTAGAAAGCCCACCAAGAAGCAACTTTTGACAACAGCTATGAAGAAAAGAAGATTGAAATGGGTCAAGGAATACAAGTAATGGACCTAAGATGACTGGACAAAGGTATGATATGAATTGTTTCAAATAACTCCTTCTGCAGGTATTTTTGAGTATTATATTAGTAATCCTACAGTGTACTATGGTAAAAACATTTATAACCCAATATCAAGCTTTATAATCACTTAATTTACATATTTGCTTTATTTGCAGGTGATATTATTAGACGAGTCTCATGTTGAGGTACTAGGATAGCAGTCACAGTTTGTTTGCAGATCAATCGGGGAACGAATACGTGAAGGTCACATTAAGCAGTATGTCAAACATCCGGATAAAAAAATGTTTTGGGGGTGTTTCATATATTTATATATATTCATATATATATATATATATATATATATATATATATATATATATATATATATATATATATCTATCTATATATATATATATATATATATATATATATATATATATATATATATATATATATATATATATATATATATATATATATATATATATATACATGTCCAGGGCCGCCAAGAGGGAGGGGCAATTGAAGTAGTTTGCCCCGGGCATCACAGTCTATGGGGCATCACATATGCCTTTAAAAATTATTGTAATAACAAAAAATTTAGATGATAACATATTAAAAGCTTAAGCAAACTTTGTGTAATAATTTTGTTCTCCTTTAAAACTTTGTTTATATTTAAAATAGGATAATTATTACTTTACAAGGTTTTCATTTTCCATTTGAACCCACGCGTTTTCGTTGCCCTTTTGCTTGCATAAAAAAATAAAAAATTTTCTTATTTAACGGCACAAAAAAAAATAACGGTAAAAGTTCTTTAAGAGATAAAACAAAGCGATAGAAAGTAATTTTATAATGCATTGTTGATGTCACAATTTTTCTAACTTAATAAAATTTAGCGTTTAGGATTAAGAATATTGTTTTTGAATTTTAAACTATATTTTGCATTATTTTATTTATAACTTAAAAATCAAAATTATAATTTATAATTGGATATAAATATGGATTACTATTTTAATAATTTTTTGTTTGCAATTAGGATCCAATCAAAAAGTGTTTAAGAATGAAATTTCTTAGAGATTTTAGCTAAACACCAAGAAAAAGAAAAGCGTAGCAAGTTTATTACTTGTCCTGAAATTTTCAGAATGAGTTTATCGCGTATGGTTTTAGAAGGTATTTGAGAAATCAAAAAATCAATATATTTCACTATCACCACATACAGCACTGACGATTTGTCTTACAGCAGTCAAATTACTTTCATTTTTTGTTTTTTGCATTTCAGTGATAATTATCTGTGGGAGATCAAAGAAAGGTTCCTTAAACTAGAAAAACTTGAAAAGAAGAAAGGATCTGATAAACAAAGCTGATATTGAATGAGTTGGAAGAGATTGAGTTCGACACAAAAAATTGTCGTAGTCAAGGCTAATGTTTTCAATGTCGCACTCGGCAATTTGACTATTCAAATGAAATCAAGATTTAAAGTAATACAAGTGGAATGTAACAAGTTTTCCTTCCTTTGGTCTTCACAGAAATCTCAAACAGACAAAGAACTAGGTTTAAAAGCTGAGAATCTCGCAAAACATCACCCAGAAGACTTATGTAAAAACGAATTTTCTGATGAAGTTTTGCTTTTTTTTTTTCTGTAAGAAAAATTATTCTAGGCAGCAAAAAGCCTGCCGAACATCTAAATTAAGTTTATGCAAAGGGATTGCATTCAATATTTTCACTAGGGTGTGTTTCACTTACAATTTTCAAAATATTTCCCGTTTAAACATATGAAGGTGAAAGATCTTTCAATAAGTTAACTATCATTAAAGGTTATCTTCATTCCACAATGGACCAGAAGCGATTGTGCTACTTGATGATCCTTTCAATTAAATCAGATTTAGCCAATAACGTTTCTTATCAAGTAGTTATTTTTGCCGATAAGAAGGCCAGAAAGATGCGTTCGATATTAAGACTTGATTTTACCATAGTTTGTTTTTAAAAACCAAAATTTACTAAATGTGGTTTCAGATTTTCTATGAAAGTAAACAAAAACTAACTATACTAATTTATTTTGTATTTGTCATTTTAAGACCTGAAGCAAGATAGGGCATCCATTAAACTTTTGGACCAGGGCATCACAAAAGCTCTAGGCGTGCCTGTACATGTCTATATATATATATAAATATATAATTAAATACACACATGTATATATATATATATATATATATATATATATATATATATATATATATATATATATATATATATATATATATATATATATATATATATATATATGTATATATATATACATGAATATATATATATGAAACACCCCCAAAACATTTTTATAATCTTCCTTTAAAACCTTTAAGCAAAAAGAAGTACCAAAAGTTATGCGTGGTATGTATATTTGCATTAAAAAAAATTTAGCAAATATGTTTTTGTTACGTTTTTAACTAAATAATTTTTTAAAACCTCGTAAAACATTGCAGGTTGGGAGAAAAATTATTAAATATAACCGTTGTGTACTAAAATGTTTTGAAGTACCGAGACCAAATTAAAAAAAAGTTTAGATATAGAATGATGTTGAACATACTTACCGTGACAAGTAGCTCACGACACCTTACAGCTATTTAAAACCATAAATTTTTTTTTTGTGAAAATAAAAGTGTTACAACATTTTTATTTTATGTCAAGAAAAGTATGGCTTTTGTTTTTTACGTAAAATTGTGTATTTTTTTTTATTGAAATTATTACCTTGTAATATAAACAAGTATTTTTGAAGATATTAGTCATTTTTTTCAATTTTATTTTAAAATATTTTCGTTTTACACTTACGTATAAATAAAAAATATTTATCTTTTTACCGCCTTAGTGATTGCGATCTAGATGGTTTCCGTTACGTACAGTTATTGTCCCGTTTTTTGTCACAAACAACAGCTATGAGAATTTAGTAAACTGCCAAAACCGGTATTAAAAGCAGATAAATTTAAATGATAGGGAAGTATTTGCTTTTAATGTAGTAGTACAGAGATTAAAAAAAAATTGAAATGAACTTTTACAAATGTTTTTCTTTGCTAACATTTCATAATATTTACCATCTATAAAACTATTTTTACCACTTCTAATTCTACTTTTTAGGGAAGCAATAAAAATAAACACTTTTAAAGCAACAGAAACAAACAAACAAACAAACAAAAAACTTTTAAAACTAACTGATATCTGTTACATAAACAGAGGACTAACGTTTGAATTGCAATATTACCTGTGCAATTTATTAAATGACAACTTTCTGTTTTGGTTTCACTGGTTATGATTCCTAAACTTGTTTTAAATCTAATGCCATTTCCACAAGTTGCAGAACATATACTCCATTCTGACCATTCTAAAAAAAATTAAAAAAATAGTAAATTTCAATTTTTTTTGAGATTGCCGTTTGCTTGTTTGAGAAGTAGTATGAGATTCTTTGATGTAAGTTATTGCATTGTCAGAAACAGTTAAATAGATACAAACGATTTTTATCATTTAATAAAAAATGATATAAGAGTATGAAGAAAAGAAATTATTCTGAAATTAAAGCAGAGCAAAAAAAACTTTGTAATAATATAGTATTTATTTAAAGTAAAAAATAAAAAATAAAAAAACATTTTCAACATTTCTAAGTTATTAACAAATAAAAATACAAAAGACATTTTTAACATTTCAAATTATTATTACTACATTTCTCAACAATATTTTAACTTAACAATTTAACAAGATTTTTTTTCTCATCAATATGCCCACCTTTAGCGCGCATGACAGCTTTACAGAGATTTTGCATTCAAGAGAGTACTTATCTAATGTTACAAAAGATAGGTTTTTCCAGGCATCTTGGAGACATTCCCAGAGACTATTTTATTAGTTGAGAAAATTATGTATACTTTGTTACACTGTTCTGCTCTGTTTAGCTAATCCCATGTCTCATACTCTGTTCCATCTCATATCCATCTCATAAAACTCTGTTCAGCTCATGCCATTGTTTCTCTATAGGGTTTGTATTAAATGATGGTGCAGACCAAGTCGTGATTTTAAGTACTTCAAACTACTTATATTACATTATATATACATGATTTTAAGCACTTCAAACTACTTGCTGTTTTTTTTTTTTTGTCTTCAAATTATTTGAACAAAAGTAGAAATGTGTATAGGATCACTTTATTGTTGAAAGGCAAACACTTTACCAATATTACAAATACTAGATGGCACCGCATGATGAATCAAAATACTAAGTTACACTTTTTTATCCATTATTGATTTTTCTTGAACTAAAACATCACTTTTTCTCAATTTTAAAACCACCCCAAATCAAGACATTACCACGACCGCGTTTCACTGAACAACTCAAACAAACATCATTAAGACGTCATCTACCGATTGTTAGACATATTGACGTGTTCTGGTTCCAAATAATTCAAACTTTGATTCATCAATCCAAAAGACTTTTTTCCATTGATCTAATATCCGCAAATTTATGTTGTCTTTTATGATCCGTTTTTTTTTTTTTTTTACACGACGTAGATGAGGTTTTCGACACGCTATACGACCATTTAGTCCAACTATACGTAGTCGTCTCTTAACCGTTTCATTTATTTGAGTTCGTCTCTGTTGTTCTTAATCGTGTTAATAATTAACAACAACAGATAAAAAGTACCCTTTAAGAAAAGTACCCTTCTTTAGATAAAATTTGAATTTTCGCAGATAATTAAATTGAATATTCTGTTCTTGTTTTCTTATTTCGACTTATGTACGCACAAGTCTTGCTAAAAAAAATTAGTGTAAAGTAATTAGTATGGATACAAAATTAGAAATTTTTTTGGTAATATCGCATAATAAACCCATTTACAACCACAGACACAAAAAGTAAAAAAAATTGTACTTAAGTAAAAGTACTGTTACTTGAGTTAAATTTTACTCATGTAAAAAATAACTCAAAAAGTAGCTTAATAAAAATGTACTCAGAGTATAAGTTACTACGTTACTTTATTAGTAACAAAGCTGTCAAATCAAAAAACAAAAGCCACGTAGTCAATTTTCAAATAATTTTTTTTTTTGCACAGAAAGTTTTTTATGGTCGTTAAAAGTGAAAAGAAACCAAGCTAAAACATTTAAAAGTCGTAATAATCGCGCTCAATATTTTATTATGAACAATTTAGAAGCGCCATCTTTATTAAAATTGAGGAAACTTTAAATGAACACGAAATATGCTATCAACTTAATAAACACAAACTTACTGGATCGAACTAAAGACTTTTTTTTAAGTTTAAGTATTATATTTATTACACTAAACTTAGCGGACTTCTGCTTTTATACATACGTAGAACTTTCAAAATAAAATTCAAGTTTAAGTATTATATTGAGTAATAAAAAAAAAAACTTTCAACAGTATATATTTAGTGACAAACTTGTGTTTTATAATAGATATTATTATTACATAATATTTACATTGAAAATTATTTAAATTGAAACGATATTCAGGAAACTTGCCTTTGCGCGAATTTGAGACGTTTACATAAGAAAGCAAAAAGTTTTGTTACAATAATGAGTACGACCAAAGACTTTTGCAAGCTACTGTAAATATATATATATATATATATATATATATATATATATATATATATATATATATATATATATATATATATATATATATATATATATATATATATATATATATATATATATATATATATATATATATATATATATATATATATATATATATATATATATATATATATATATATATATATATATATATATATATATATATATATATATATATATATATATATATATATATATATATATATATATATATATATATATATAATATATATATATATATATATATATATATATATATATATATATATATATATATATATA